GGATAGCACAGGGAAATATATATACAAGATCTTGTGGTAGCTCACAGCAAAAAAAAATAGGTGACAATGAATATATGTATGCTCATGTATAACTGAAAAGTTATGCTCTCCACTGGAATTTGACACAACATTGTAAAATGACTATAACTCAATAAAAAATATTAAAAAAAAATAGCAGCAACATATGTGACAGTTCTTAGTTTTAATGTGTCCTTACAATCAAAATAACAGTACGCTAATATTCTTTCTTGCAATACATTTAGTGAGCACCTATTCCACGGCAGGCACGGTGATCACGTGCTGTCCAGGTCAGAGGAAATAATAAACCTGTGCACAATTTTACTATATATCATCTTGACGTTACACTATCAAGTTGAGAACTGAGGAAATGTTCTCTGAATTAAAAAGCAACTAAAATAGGGGTCCGTAACAAAAAGAGGTTATTCACATACTGAAGAAATTGTAAAATAAATGTAAATGGTGGAATTACTGAGACTGAAGGGAAGAAGAAAGTTAAGGAAAGTTGAATGAGGGTCGGAGGGCAAGCGATCAAATCCCACAGAGATGCTTAAAGAGATTCCCTGCCCAAATGACCTCTTTTGGTCTCTACTGCCACCAGTTCAGACACGTTCAGAAAACCGTCTTCCAAAAGAGATTTTTCCTATAGAAGCAAAGAAATATGGAAACTTTTTTTTTAAAAGTTAAATGCAACTAATGTTTCATAACTTTGTAGCAGGGCTTGCCAAAGTTTTATTGAGGACCACCTGCCTCTGTTGAATCTTTCTGGCCCCTCTCACAGGCTGCTTTAACCCAAACCTTCTTCCAGGAATCAGCCGTTCTAATAAACACCCCCAAATCATTCTTAAGCTCCCTAAAATTTGAGCACCACTGCTTTCCAGGACAGTGCAAGCTGGCTAGGAGAGGTGGGCGTATCAGATGATTCTGCAATTAAGGACCTCCCTTGTGTATACCTAAAATATTTTAGATCTGTAGGATAAAAAGACTTACACATTTTGATTACGTGTGATATGCATTTTTAATTGCAAAAGAGCAGCTGTAAAAGCACCAGGTGTTTCTCTTACTCAAGCTATTTTTTGTTTATTTGTTTGTTAGTTCTGAGGACAAGTGAAGGCTAGCTCTTTACAGACAAAAATCCTTGCCCTGTAACTTTTCCGAATCCTTCTTTTTTTTAGCATTTGTTCTCTGATGAAACAGCGAGTTCTCTGCCGAGCGCTGATCTGCCTTAGAAGCTTTCTTTGCTGCAAAAGGTTAAACGCCAAGTCTGCAATTTGGGTTTAAGATCAAGAAACTTTAAACCTCTTATCTCAGTACAAGTGAGAAGTTCTAACAGTCTCTCTCCCCGTTACAAAAAAGGTCTGGCTTTTGTTGTCTTTTCCCCCAAATTTGCCTTCCTCTCCTTAATTTCTACATCATGGTAGAAAAAAAAAAGGTGCTCATTATGCTTTCACTCGTCCTTAGAGATGATAAGACATCTACAGATTTATAAAGTTTGACCCAAAGCAAACACCAAAAGAGCTGAGAATTCTCACACTGGGGCTGACACTCCTGATGAGCTAAATTGCGGTAACTACACATGCTTCCATTTGAAACAGGACGCACTCACACAGCAGTTTCTCGTCTAGTGCTTAGCAACATTATCATCGAGCACCTGGAATAGTTTAGGCATTAAGTGTAATTGGTTTTGCTTTACATAAATCTGTAGCTTTGTAAATAAGCGGAGCATTTCAGCTTCTATAGAACACCAATTAACTTGAAGGGATGTGCTGTTTGCAGAAGCCCGCTGGGCTCTGCTCTGTATTTGCCCAGTAATGTGCTCAGTGGCGGGCAGCGTTCTGTGTCCCTGCAGTGTTCCATTGACTCCCAGTCACTTGGTGCCAAGGGTCTGTACCCAGCCACTCATCTGCTCCATTTTTCAGTTGTAAAAGATTGGGAAAGTGAAGTCTTCCCTAAGAAGCACCTTCTGTTCTTTCTTTCTGTCCACGATTGAGACTCGAAAGGCAAGGTATTTGAAAAATGCTTTCTATCACCTGCAGAGTGCAGATCTGACCCCAGTGGATTCTGTCCACAACTGATGGACACATCTCGTTCCTCTTTTATTTTTTTATCTTGTAACACTTTAATCCAATGCAGCCCAAAGTCACTACATTGAGCCTGTATACACAATTAAGGAAACCATATTCTTATTATTACATGACTTTGCGAGTGACAGATCTTCCATCGGAGTGACTTTTTTTTTTTTTAATGGCACTCAGAAATCTGCTCCTAGAAGGTGGTAAATTTTTTCAGGCTCCTTGGATATTTCCCCCTTGGTATCTCTTTACTCAGCTTAATCCCTTATCTCTCATATCCCCTTCAGGGAATCTTGATTTATAGCGTTCATCCCACCCTGGCCAACCTCTAATACTCTTGGTTTCTGAAAGTGTTTTATCGACTATCAGAGGAATAGTAGCAACAAAAAACAGCTCATGATTCCAAAAAGTTTCCTATTACTAGTGTGTGGTTTACAAATTGAAGGAGGGAGAATCTCACCCCTTCTGAAAACCATTGGGATCCTTTGTTTCAGGAGAAAAGAGCTTCGGCATTGGGAGCCTGACTCAGTCCCTGTCCCAGCACCTCTGCAGGAGAAGCCAGGGTACAATTAACGGTCGCAGGCTTATGGGTAAGGCTCTTGAATGAAATCAATGGCCAAGTGCCAACAGCATGCAGGTGATGCTAGAACGCGGGTCTGCTTGTAGAGAACAGGGCGATGAAAGGAACCGCTCATGATAACGACTCGCATCTATGTCACCCTTTACAGCCAACAAGTCGCTGTCAAACCTATCATCACATTTGGTTAGCGCCACCCCTGGGAAGCAGACACGTTTTGGCGTGCCCATTTTGCCCATGAGACATTGCAGCTCTGAGACTGAGTCACCAACAGCCACGGAGACTGCGGATGCCACAGACAGGACTTGAACCTTGGTCCGTCTGTGTCTAAAGTGCCAGCTCCTTCTGCAGTGTCACCAACATTGGATCATCCCCGACCACTTAGACGAAACACTCTAGAGAGAGATCTACACAGTCCAAAAGGGAACAAGAATGAAAGGAAAGACCCCGTTGGGCTTGGAGACCCTGACAAAAGGCTTATCCAAAACAGCATCTTTCTGACATCCCTTCCCACTCACTGCTTCCTCTGTGGGGCACTGTCCTCATATGGACCTTAGGCTGCCAGAGGCACCCCACTGAAAAGACCCACCCAGACTGACCACATCAGGATCTGGAAAGAGGGTCTTGGGCTCAAAAACATCCTTTCCTTCTCCTTCCATCAAAATGCCCTCAGATGTGTGACAGTCAGTTCCAAGCTGCCTTAGAAAAGAACAAGTTGAGAAAAACAGATTTACTCCTTAAACTATTATTAATAATTGTGAAGACGCCCCTAGTACTTGCTAAGCACAAGACAGTTCTAAGTGGCTTTTTAAAAACTCATTTAATCATCACAATAACTCTATAAGGGCAATTGTTAACCCCATTTTACAGATAAGAAACATGAAGCCCAGAGAGGTTAATAACTTTCCAAAGGTTACACAGGCAGTGTGGACAGAGTCGAAATTTGGACCTGGGGAGCCCGATTACAAATCCCAGGGACTAGCCCTCTTTGTGTGCCTGCCTCTCGGCATAGCTGTTGTCTCCAGCAGCTTTGTATGTAAACTCAGGGTGATTCCAGGGAGGACAATGCCTTAGGCCAATGGCCTTCAGTCTCTTTCTCTTCCAAAACACAAAAGAATATGACTTTTTCCATCAGTAACAAGACAGTCAAGGATCACGATGACCAGACCCCGTCTCTGTCGTCTCTGTCTCTCTCATCCTCTCTCTCTGTCTCTTTCTCTCGCTCTCTCCCTGGCTGGGTGTCCCACGAAGGTTTCCACAGTAGAATGGCTGCTGTTTGACAGCCAAGATCATTTCCCCAAGCAATATACTGTCACAAGTCTACTCAGAGAAATAACTAACTGTTAAATAATAATAGCACCCAAATCCTAATCTATCATCCATCCTAGACAGGTTTGAATCCATTTACTGGCTGGGCATCAGGTTGCTTCTTAAGTCTGCTAAACCAAAGTGACCAAATCTCACATAAATACAGTAATGAGTCAATAGCCCATGACAAGTGGCTATTACTCTGGAAGCAGCAAGTCAGAAGCACATTTAATGACATTTATGCAAAGAGCAAGGCAACACGTCTACCAGGGACAAAAGGAGGAGAAAAATGGAATCCACAGTGGGTAGAAATGTGGCCAAAATCAGGAGGAAGTCACCCTACCATCAAAGAAACTACCAAGAAAGCGTACATGTCATCATCGTGAAGTTTTCGTTTTCCTGAAGCCATCTCTTGAAGCAAAAACGAGAAAGAGGGCAGAGAGGATATGCTGAATTTTGAAATAAGAGAAAGCACTCACTATCAGAAATGCTGGCGAGG